GCAGCGTTAGGGCTCCTCTACTCCAGGGCAAAAATCCTTTTGGAGAAAAGTGTGTAGCTAAGTATCAAGCGCCTAATCTATAGTTTAACTTAGAGCCAAATAACATAAATATATATATATATCCCACCAAAGAATGCGATATGGGAAAAGGCCTGGCCTTCCTTGAAATTCGCATCTGCCCTGTGACTAAAGGGCACTTGTGGAAATGTGGCCGAGTGGCTAGCGTGTAAAGCTCACATGCTGCACTATAAATATATATAAATATATGTTATTTGGTTCTAAGAAAAACTCTGACTCTTCTTAGCCCACAATTTCGATTGTTGCTATATATGCTCTCAATAACCAAGGGCTTATATAAGCAGTTGTGCCTCAAAATAAAGATAATCAACCGCTCAAAAGCAAGTGAGAGGTAAAAACTTTAAAAAGCACCCAGCTAATGCTTCCAATTGTGAAAAACATTAAGGAATTTTAACCCCATTCTCTTAAATTAGTCATGTTGTTGGACGCACCTTGTTCTAAATCCTCTGCTATAGTAGAGATGATAGTTCTCAGGATCGGACAATGTGCGAAGATGAAGTCAAACCATTTCAATACAGCAAAAAAAGACTGAGACCAAAACAAAGGACGAAACATCTTGGTATTCACACCTACGAGAAAGATGGCTTGTTTAGCCATCGTGTTTAGACATCGTGAGGCTTATAATTTAGCCAGGAACGTCTAAACTTTTAAACAAAACTGAAAATAAGTTTCAATATCGAGCGGATAACAGTTTTAAGACCCCAAACCTAGCATTTTCTTCTTTTATGGCGGCCATATCTTCATCATATCCCGCGGTATAAATTATTTGTAGCGCCCATCAAGTGAATTGAGTTGGTATAACCTACACTGAGGCCTATTCGCTAAATAAGAGGCCAAAAGAGAAGAGAATTAAGACTAAAGTGAATAAATACGGTGATCTAGGGATGCGTTTAAAAAAAACATACATAAATACGGTTTAGATAGAATAAAATAATTATGTGAATTCAAGTTCGCATGAAGTAGAATAGGCCTTTATGTGCTAATCAAAATAGAAATATCATATTATTAATGGAAATAAGGGAGGTTAAGAATAAAATCCCAAACTTAATGTTTTGAAAATTAGTACGATATGGAGTTCCTTAGTAATCTGACTCATTAATAGTCTTTGGGGTATGGATTGATATCGCCGCAAAAATGATCCGATATTGCAGTCTATCTTGGGCATTCCAGGCCTATAGATTTATTAAAGTTCTCATTTAAAATACCTGAATCCAAACTCCAAGTTCAAGAGGATATATCTTCAAAACAAGATGGAGACAACGAAAGGGCAAGTTAACAGGAAGTAGCCAACCTGACTAACCTGATACTGGCAGAAAATCTAGGCTTCGTGTTAATGAAGTGGCATGGCCTCGATCCGCATGAAAGGAATTCTCGAGCGCCACACATGCTGAGAATGGACTTGTAGAATGGACAGCTTTTGCAGAGGGCGAAACAAAGAGGCCAGAGCTGTTAATCGACCCGATTCCTACGCAGGGGTCCGTTTCCAAACCTTGCTGAGAGTTCAGGCGAGTAGACAAAGAGGGTTTGAGGTGCTCTGAAAAATAGGATATCTTAGAAGAACCGGAATTTTCGACTTCCATAGTCAGAGGGCAAGCAGCAGATCGGCCCGACTTTGGCATCGAATTGTAGCGCCGCTGGTGAATATCATCATATTCGGAAGTATTATTAGCTGCGCTATTAACTCCTTGCCCAAATTGATCGGAATAATGCTTGTTGTTAGGTTGACTGGTGATCACTTTAACGCAGCCACTTATAGCATTCGGAGTGTTGCAATGAATGGAGTCGGCCAGACTGAAGCCAGGGGTGATGACGGGATCAGAGCAACGAGGAATAGGAGGATTAGTACCCGAGTAGATTAAGGACGAAGATGGATGGACGAAGGATGAAGAAGAAGAAGACGACGACGAGAAAGAAAAAGAAGAGTCGAAATTGGAAGTTTTAGTTGCCTCTGCCGCCAATCTCCTTATATAACGACCGGTCTGGTATCCGGAAGAGAAGGGGGAGGCAGGTGAGGAAATCAGAGCAGTAGACGCCTGGACGGAAGAGACTGAAAAAGGAGGTGAGGGGGATGAAAAAAGAGAAGGTGCTGGTGAAGGGAAATATGAGGGTGAAGAAGTCACTTGGGCAAAGGACCAAGGTGGCTGCGACCGAATTGCGTTCTGCTGGGGCTCATTGTATATGTTACCAGAGGCTGGGTGGATCATAGCAGGTATCCTGGTCTGAGGATTTTGATCGTTGGTGGATACCATTGCTGAGAGATTATGTGGTATGGCAAAATTGTTAGCTAGTGGGGCTAGTGGGTAGAGATACAAATAAAATATGGGCGAGGATAAATAAGCAGATGAAAAATGTTGCAGGATATTACAATTGTATAGTTTGAGCAAAGTATGCCAAATAATTTAGAATTTAAGCCATTTGTCACTCAGAAACAATAATTAGCAATTATTAAAAAGTAATAGCAACTAAATAATTGATAATAGTAGCTCTACAAATACCAGTTGGGATGACTAGAAATTGCAAAAGATGACTATGCATACTCTTGGGTCTGTGCAAAATGGGTTGACGATTTGGTCCGCATTGTGTTAGATACATGATGGTGTGGTCAAAATTTCGTCTGAACAATTCGGAAGCGCTCAGTCGAATGAGGTGAAGTGTAGATCTGATCAGATCACAGCGGGCTGGACTCCTGATGAGAGAAAAATCTTGGGTATTGTGGGGAGAATCTGCCCGCGGCTTAGGTTTGCATTAGGTTTTGCCTCACCATGCATCCTCTTATCATAAGTTTCGAGGTCGCCTCTAGATAGATTCTAACCACGGTCGTGTGCGATAAGATGCGCATATGTTACATCCTAGGTCACACGGTGCAGCTCAGCAAGCATGACTTTCAAGGCAAAACAAACTTTTATCAAATAAAAAACGTTTTCGGTGAATTATAAGACTGGCTATGTCTTGAAATTCATAATTGGCATACGAGGGAATTTAGCTAGTGTTGTGTGGATGAGAGTGTAAAGTACCTATCTCTAAAGCCGCAGAATTACGGCTATAATCCTGCTAGAAGTCCAGATGATCACAAGCGATATCAAATCTATATTCTAACTTGCTATTTGTGATGAATGGTCAAGGGAAATTCTATGCAAAAATTAAGTCTGTTGTTCAACTCATTGTGGGAAGACTCGCCTTTTATGGCTTAAAAATAAACTGCCATTAAGTATAAAAGCTTGAAAGTTTTTTGACCTTGTTTTCGCAACTTAGTCATATTTGCAAGAAGACCCAAAGGAACGCACTTTGTCCAGATTCCATAGTATGCATGATAATTTCAAGAGTCAGACCATGGACTTGATACATTCCCACCGTTTCACCGGTATCGTAGTCAGCCTCATCAGTGACTTTTGCCATTCTGAGCACTAAGCTACAACTCGTCAGAGACAAGTGAAGTCAATCCCTTGACTAACTTTCTATCGAAACGGTTGTGCTATCACTCTTTATTCTGTCCTGTCCCTCTATCAATTTCCTACCCTCGTCCTATCACAAGTTCTGATATATTTATATTCTATAAGAGATGTGCCCTTTTGGCGAATTTACTGTGGCGTCATTCCACCATCTTTTTGCCTTACTCATCTGCCTTTCGAGTGGCTGATCCGAATCTAGCCTCTTGTCCGGATCAGCCTCATGAGGCCTTAGGTCAATTTCTTATCTTTCTGGTTGACCAATTTCACTCGGTTCCAGCCACAGCTTACTTTTACTCCAGGTGCTATTTCTCGAACCTTCGGTAGCACATAAAAAGTCACCTCATCTGTAGAGCGCCTAGGCTCTGATTCCCATGCTTGTGGATATTAGGCATTGCCTTCACGCATCATCTTCTAGAGTAAACCCGTTCACTCTGAGCAAACTGTGGACATCTATCTGTGGTCGCCTATTGCATCGCAAGTTGACTATTAGTCCTATTTCTGTGACCCAAGCGCTCAGCATATGACTTCTTTCGGAACAATTTTCTGAGTGTTCCAGTAGAGCGAATGACTTCCACATATAGGAAAGCCAAACGCCTCTCTTCCTCTACATCCACTGTGAACTTGATTTTTTCATCAATCCTGTTCATGAACTTTAGGAAATCCTCACATTTTTCTCTTCCGTGCGACCATATTGCAAAGTAGTCATCTAGATACCAGATAAGAACTCTTGGTTGGAGTGGTCACGTCTTGAAATTCTCTTCTAATTCGTTCATGTAGACATTTGCTAATAAAGGTGAGAGAAGTGACTCCATAGAACGTCCAACTATGCATTCATATATGTTGCCGTTGAATATGAAGTAGGTAGATTTTATTGTCAAGTTCATTAGTTGTGTTAATGACTCCCTTCTGATACTGTCTGCTTCTAGGATATCCTCTTCTCTAGAAATGTTTCTGTACACAAAGTGTACATCAAAACTTACCAGTAATTCTGTTTCTTCCAGTGTCATGTTTTCGATCCTCTAAGAAAATTCATATCCGTGCTTCACTGTGTTTGATAATCTGTCGTTTACCTTCTTGAGTTCCAAACATATGAACTTGGCTAATTTGTGTGTTACTCCAAACTTGTTGTCAGCTATCAGCCTTAGTGGTTCTCCTTCTTTGTGTAACTTAGGTAACCCGTAGGCTGTTGTGGTCGTACATCCTTTTTAATGGGTGAGGTTAATGTCCATCCGTTGATCTCACCGTTCTCATGCATATTTTTAAGCATTTCCAGTTAAATTCCTCTGATCTTCATAGTTGGGTCCCTCTTTAGTACATGATACGTAGTCCAGGCTTGCAGTATACATTCCATTTTCTCGGTATATTGTTTCCTTTTCATTATAACTGTAGTTCCTCCTTTGTTTGCCTGAAGGACTAATTGTTCATTTCTTTCTAGAGTTCTTCGTATCCTCACATTTCTGTTCTTGTGCATTGGTTCATAATGTGTAAAGATTCTAGGGATTATTTCCATCTCAATTTGCCGTTTTGTCTCCTGAGGGAACTTGTCAGAGATATTGATGACCTCCAGAAGAAAAAGATTTAGTCCTATCTTTAAGATCGTAGTGGTTTCAGGATCAAAGGGAAGCAAGGATAAATTCACCAGTAACTATACAACAAAAGGAGACCGGGACCATACAAAAGGCCACACAATCCTGGTCTTCATACCCTCGATTTATAAAAGCTTGGAATTCTATGATTATCTAAATTATGTTAAGAAATGCTGAGCGATAAAGTGAAAATATTATAAAAAGTAGGAAGAAAAAATTTAGAGCATGTAGCAGTTAAACAAAGCAGCAAAGTGCAAATATATCATATCAATCTGATAGTAATAAATAATAGTGCGATAAATAAGGTAACAGCAATATATTCGAATTCTCGTGTCTAGAACTTACAAAAATCTTTTGTAGCCTGGTCGATCCCCGGTCCAGCAGGGACATTTACTGACAGGTCAAACGTCTCTAAGGATGGCCTTAAAGCCGGCTGCCGCAATTTAAGCGTATCTGAATCTGGGTCCGGCATCACTTTATAGTGAGAATATACTACTTTCTTCTCGCTGGGTAGGCAATTTTGCTGACCGGGGACTAGATGATGGGCTGATTGCTGGTTAATTTGAAAGTCCAAAATTTTATTGTGGGACTGGCAAGGACGGTTGGACGGGTGCTGCTGTGGCCGACCTAAGAAAGACGGCTCTTCGAATCTTGAATAGGTTTGCAAGTCAATGGAAGCCCTGGGGGCCCGGGCAAGAGAAATAGGCAACGAGGGCGGTCCGAGATGCATAGGCTCACGGCGGCTGCGAGCTAAGGAAAGGAGATCTCCAACATGCGCTCTACTAGAAAGTAAGCAGATATGAAGAGGGAATAGTTCCAGAAAAACGTTAGCTACTCCTTTGGGAGGTAGAGAAATGTCTTGCTGGTCAGTAGGCATGGTGCAGGCCGGTCGGAGAAGATGGCCATTTGATGGCATTCCAAGCCGAACATCTTTGTCAGAACTAGAGATTGGAGAGACCAACGGAGGTGGCGAGCCAAAATAAGAGATCGGGCAGGCTGGAGAAGGCAGATAGGTGATTTTGGGCTGGCTGAGCAGGACTGTCATATTGCACATGGAAGCTGGACTCGACATAGAAAAAACACATTGCAATCAATCCATTATAGAGAACAGTGGTCTTGATATTGTTAAATCTCAATTATCCTCACTAAGCATTAAAACAACACCATACCTATGAACGTATTTGCCAGGTCTTAGTAAGGGACTCTTTTGTTTCTATTCATATATAGAAGGATTCGATACAACCAGAAGATCTTAAATAAGAACCGCATTCACCTTAGGCCGCATAAGATGATGAAGATTGACAGTTGAATTATCCC